GTTGAAGATTTTTTCCTTCTGTGGAGACAGAAAATTAGGCTTTAAATCCTACTCTCTATGGGTGTATCTTACCGCCATTATGCTGTGAGCTTCTGCTTGTCGAACGTCGCCGTCATTTTCATGAGTGTTCGGCAGCACTAAGTACTACGTGCATAATAAGCAAGTCATTTCCGATGGAAAAGTCAACTGTCTCCATTGGCATGGTATTTAGTAAAGTTGAGACCAAAATCTCAAAATCTTTCCTGAATATATCTATAACAAGCTTGGCTGGTTTGCAGTACACCGCACATCACATGGTTAGCTTTTGGAGCTGATCACTGTCCACACGAAGGCAATGTGTGCAGTGATTGTGCTCAGTATCGGACTCAAGAGGACTAGAATCGTATCGGCGGAAAAGTTTTTGCGAGTCCATACTGGTAACCGACTTACCGGCTGTTGACTGCTTATAGAGACGATTTTTGTGGCGCAGGTGGTACGGTGGGAAGTGGGCCGCTTTCACGCGTGCGATCGAATCCAGGATCGATTTCCGCTCGGGCCAATCAAGCATTCCATCTCTCGGAAACCGGTGAATTGGTAATCAGACTCGTCTGGGAGGCGAAAACACTGACTTATACTTTGCTTGGTTTCCAATTTGTCAGCATCTGAATTTATATCCTTTACCGTAACAGTCGACTTTATGCATTTGGATAATGCTGGACTCCAGAAGTTTTTCAGACTTTATTTGTTTGGATAGTGCAGGATTCTAGGAGTTTCTAGGAGTCTTTTAAGCTTCCAGCTGTATAACATACAGGCGCGGATGTGCCAAGTCCAGCCCCCTTGATACGCCATGGGCGCCGAAGTTAGCCCCTGACACGCCCAGGCATCCTTAACGAGCAAGACTTTTTGCGCTTTGCGGGGTGAATTTTGGATTCCCGGTGGAAAGTCTGTAGACTGGCACGTTTTCCCAATCTTTCCCTACGCACAGTACTCTGGTGGAGGTTGTATTTGGTTGCTGGGTTAGGGGTCGTAATCGCCCTCGAAAATTTTTCTGATTGGTAAAACTTTAACTTTCTGATCGGTAAAGCGCACGATACTAACATCGCCCTACCTCTCTCTCCTCTTTGAGTTGGCATTGCATCCGATTATTTGTTAGATGATCTTATTTGTCCAACCCCTCATCCGTACCCCTCCACTCGACGGCAAAATGGAAAAATTTGGCAAAATGGTAGGTGGACCATGAGAGGAGGTCCTACCGAGACGCTCCACCCATCCCCACAGTATTAATCTGCTTCTATCCGTATTTTTAGCATACTATGAGTCCCATGATGTCGATGCTTTCTTTCATCATAACTCTTGTAATTTTCTGTCTCTTTCCTATTCCATCTTTTATTTTTCCCGGAGTTTTAAACTGCGTCTCCTAGCACATTTTCAATTTTCGCGTGCTTAAAAGCGCAGGCCAGTACCTTTTGTACTGAAGCAACCGAATCCGTCGCCGACTGATCTACGATGACATCAATGGTTTATATAAGCTCAGACTAAAAATACAGCTCCAAACTCTGCGTTTTCGTTTATTTTCAATCTTGTGACACCCAGTCTGATGCATGCAGCCACTCTGATTTGTGTGGCCTCCCTTTTCAACCGCTTTAGTAGCGAACCGACGAACGCACCAATCAACAAGAGAGAATTCTTGATTGCTCCGCCCATGTCTCCATCCTTACGATTATCGTGAACTGTGCCTTTAACTCTTTGCTGCATCATTATGCTCTGTGCTTTCTAGGCTCTCGCACATTGTCCGTACCCGGACAGCGGGTGTCGTCGTCACACGATTGTAGTTGCTAGTGAAAAAAACTGGTGCACAATATCGGCGACAATGACGATCAGCTATTCGGACACATTCGTAAGACTGTTGTTTCGGTGGAAAGGTTCACTATGGAAAGCGATATGGCGACATTTACTCGTATTTCTATTTCTTTACTACGCCCATCAATGGGAGTTTATGCGCTAAGAAGCCTCTAGTTTATCGGTAAAGAGTTTATGCGGTAAGAGGTCCGCCTCACAGCTCTCCAATCGAGGCCTCGGCACACTGCAGTCGTTCATCAGTCACATGCTACAGTCATCTTCCCTACAAATGATAGGGCGTGTAAAGAGGCGTAAATTGGATCGTAGCCAGAACAGCCCTTTCCACCAATTGTTGTGGACAAAGGATGGCACCATCGAAGGAAAGGTCCCCTTCACAGCTCTCCAATCGAGCCTCGGCACACACTCTGTCGTTTGCAAGGATTATGAAGCAAGGGGAGAAGGTTCGACTCAATGGTCAGCCTAATCGAGCTATATGATTGGCGCAATCTAGTGTAGAGTGATGTTTGGCCACATCCCATAGGACCGTGAATTGCTCGTTTCCCCAACTGCTGATTGGCCAGTCGCATACAAGGTCATGGTGCGTTAGGGCAGTGCTATCATTAACGAAAGCGCCAATCTTAAGTTTAGCGAAATGGGAAGACATTTTGAAGGGCACGCGACTTGCTAGGGGCATTTCCGCCTGCCGTTCCCATCGCATCGGCTGCCGGTTATTTCCTTAAGACCTGTAAATTGTCTGTAAAGCTATGGCAGTGGGCAGGGTTTCATTGCACTTGACAGAGAGTCCCACAGGTCTAAGCCCAAACGATCATTCCCGCAAGGACTGCAAGGGAAGGTAAGCGAACAGTGCAAGAGCGCCCCCCCCCCTGCCCTCCCGTATGACGGACAACGCCGTCGTTTACAATAGGTAACCGAGAGGGAAAGGGTCGGGTTCCTTAGGCCTAGTTAGGAAAACTACAGGCTGTATACCTGAGATAAGTCAAGGGACCTAACATGCCCGCAACTGTGTCAGGACAAACAGCGAGATTTTCAGGCAGTCGTCTGCGTCTCTGTAGCACCTCTCCAGTGTCCAGGCAATTTTAGAGTAAAGCTACTATTTTTTTCAGGTTTATAATGACACAAAAGCAGCAAGAGATGTTCGTTAAATACGTAATATTGTTTGACAGTTGGACGAAAGAGATCCCGTTAACGTTTCTTCTAGGTTTCTATGTGGCTATGATTATTCGAAGGTTAGTTACTCGAAAACTAGAAAGTATTTTCCTGTATCACCGGCTAGCGATGTCTATATCTGAAAAATAACTACTTTGGCCTAACGCCAAGGAAATTGCAGGTGGTGGGATTGCTGCCAGTTGATTAGCTGGCCTGATCATCTCCTCTACAACGTCTCAGCATTGATACGAGGAAATGATGTGAGTTTTTTGGCATCTGTAGCCTGGTTCGCTGTGGATCCACGGGATCAGGGGCGTGTCCGCGCGTCAGCGTTTGCTCACCGTCAATAAAACATCCACGCCCTGTGCCAAACGCAGCTGCGCTGACTACGCCTCCATTATTCCCGCAGCGAACCAGACAATACCCGTAGGAAAAATCGATTGCCGCTACCGTATGACGCATTTCTAGAAATTCTAGCAGAAACGCGTCCAGTCATTCGAGGGACGATAGCCGCTGATACGCCATATTGTCATCCGTTACTGGCATGGGGGCGAAGCCATATCGTGCGGGTTCTTGCGAGGTATTCTTCTGCTTACTTATCATAGGGCCACTATGTATGATATGATTATGTGATAGTTGCGCCACTTACCACCATGGGCGAAGTCCTAGATGGAATCCTTCCAAGTCAATTAGATAGGCCATTCATCCCCCCACGTTGCGTTAGCTGATAGGAGGTAATGGACGGTACAACAAATCACTACCGGGGGCAGATGGCTGCTGGCTTTGCATAAATTCATAGTCACTGTGGCCCTGAAGGGCCCCTGTTCTCGGCGCGATTGTGTATCTTCCCCTGTTCTTGGCGCGATTCTGTATATTCAGCTCCGTGAGTCCTGGGCCTTGACTTGTGAGGGGACTATGGGTCCGTGGCTGCACTAGCGTTCTTTTTTGTCGGTCAAAATGCACGGGATAGCGGCAGCGAAGCCGATGATATCGAATTCAATCTCCAGGACTCCACCCGCGCGCTCAGCAGCAGTGCTAGGTATTGTCAAAAGCGCTACTTATCTGCTCCTCTGACCTTGTTCTCTACCGCTGAGTGTGTGTATCGCTGCGCAACCTCTGTATCAGCGAAAGTACTCCACCTTGAAAATAGCGCGGGGAAGTATGGAGATGGTACTAAGGTACCACTACCCCTAACTCCGTTCCGGCTGCAACTTTCGCCAATGGCGAAAAATGAGCAAAGTGCAGCAATCCGCAGCTCCGCAGACCCCCTCGCCTCGCGGAGTAGGACGTTTGTACCGCCTCACGAGTTGCGATTGAGTAAGTGATAGTGTACGGCTGTCTTTTAAAGGCAGTTGGCACGTATAAATCCTCCTAAGACGAGAAGCGATCACATACGCCTCAGCGGAAAGGCGACCCTGAGCAGGCCGCGTGCATCAATGCCTTTTCCAAGGAAGGTGACCTTATAAGGGGCCTATACAAAGCATTACGAGGCCTAACGTCCACCCACGCCCGCCGCGCCCCTAAATGGACGACCGTTCCTGACGCTCTAATCGATTCATTTGCTAAGCAAATTATGAAGCGGAAGGATTGGTATGAAGCGGCCGTGATGCCGCATGGATATATGAGTACTCATAGCCGTGCCATCGGTGGCGGTTATTGACAGGATGCCTACGGGAAACTCGTCCAAAATTGATTTTGAACATTTTGATAACGGAGGCTCTTTCTTCGCAGGATTTTGACCGTTTCACTCCGTTCTTTCGCCATTTCTTCCCACTATATAGCGCCCTACTAGCATTTTAGAACGAGCACCAAATCATCGTGCCAACTGCCTATAAGCAGGAGTCAAGGATGCCGAGTGGCTTCCACGTGTTTGTTTGTACTCATGATCCATAGAAACCCCTCCTCATGGGACAGTATCGCTTGATATTAGACTCACAATGACACTTGATACTAGAATGACAACGAGTGGCCAAAATCACTGACAGGACCGACTGGGAAGATTTTGTAAGTACGAAGTGACAGTTGATTACGCAACATTGTTCGGAAAACGAATACGCCAGGCCTATCAAAACTGATTTATTGATGCTAAACTCTGACTCACTAGGGAAGGTCGCCAGGTCGAAGTGGCCATTTGTAATGAGACGTAGCTCACGGAAGACTGGCGCTGGCGACCATCCCTAGTCAGTTCTGTCATGTATTTCAGGTATCCAACAGATGAACATCTCCTTGACTCGGGTTTGATAAATAAAGAAGAGTTGGCGTTGTTCAAGACTATTCACGTGCGTGTCGATCCCCATCAGGTAAGACTGTGTTTTCAGCTACCTAAAAACAGGGTGCAGCAACGGGATGAATGAAATGATGGTTCCGCGCGACCATTTTGATGGCTGCCTTGAGGGCTGAAATGTTGCCAGATTCGTTAAAAAGATCTGCTAATAAGGCTTCGCGATTTGTTCTAACACCACGATTTCCAATAATAAGGTTCAAAAATTGCTTGCTCAAATGCAACCGTTTCAGTGCCGTCGCCTTCTGCTTCGGTCCGGTGTATTACTCATAAATGAGGGCAAAGTTAACTGTGAGGGGTAGAAGAGCAGGTGGTTCATTTTACTGCCATAGCGACAAAGCAAATGGTGTCACGTTTGCGGCATTTGCACAATACCTAATGGACTTGCCGCAAAGATGGTGCTACACTTGTCCTTTCAACCATGAGAGAACATTGATTAACATTGAGAGGGGTTCACTGAGCAATCCGAGGCTGTCACGATTTGCTGACAAGCCTTTCATATGCTGTTTCTGATTTTGGGTGTTTCATTTTGTAACTGAAAATGGGATCAAGGCGAATTGGCTCTAAGTTTATCTTCATTAACACGGTTGAAACGTTTTATAGGTTAAGATCTATAACAAGCTCGGACTACTCACTCCTCTTAATGTTAATATCGCCAGTTGATCACGAACAATTGAAAAAAAAACACTAACTATCTTTCACTAGTTTAGAACCCTTGTCAAGAGAGAGAGTAAAAACATTATACCAACTAGCTACCTTTTTTTACCAGAAGAGTGCTGAGTTAGAGAAAAAGGCAGACTCATGATAGGGACTTAAACCCACACCTCGCGTTTACCGGGCGAACGCGCTACCCGTTACGCCATCAGGGCTGTTTCGTCCTCTCAGCTGGCTTTTGTGCCAAAGCCTTAGGCACTTAAACGTTTGACTGACTGAATGAGCCGGTTGAGGATATCGGCGGTGAACCTCAAGCCGAAGGCTCTGCAAGGAAGATCTTTGAAGATGTGCAAAAAGCCTCTGAGCTGACTACCTTAGTGAGAGGGGAAGTGAGAAGAGGAGAGCGGCTCTGGAGGATAATGGATAATGGATAGCGAACCTCTCCGGTAAGCACAGGTGCGGGTTCAGGTACCACCCATGGTCTGACTTTCGGTCATGACTCTGCATTTCTGATAGCAAGCTTAGTTTGTTCAGCGCCGCAGCCAACGTAATTTTCCAACCCGACCCGAGACGGTGCGATATAAGAATCGCCATAATGCTGCACAGTAACGATCATGAGAGACTCATTCCATGCGACAAGCGCATTCCGTCAAGGCCTCCTGAATAGCCTCAACGTAGAGCGTAAATCGAAAATACCGCGTGCTGGGACAATATGTTCGGCTGGTTCTCAGTGATGAGCCCTATGACAATGTAAAAGACAGTGAATGCATCCTCTTCATGATACTTGCCCAGAAGCATTCCTTTTGGCTGGAAGGGCGACTTTACAGCCGCAGTCTGGAGGAGGAGTTACTGGAAAAGGGATGTACCACTGAAGGAACTTTGCGCCTCAATCCTTTTACCATACAACTTTCCGCCGCGAAACTGGCACAGGGTTGTCCACTCCGGACCGCAATACCTTCCCACATAACCTCTAGCATTTTTATAGGTCATCGCGGACCGTTCCCGACCGGCTGTTGGAGAGCTTCATGTCTCTGGTAGGACCTAGCATTCAAACTTTTTCAGTTGACTTCAAAATGCCAACAGCCCCAAAATCACTAATTAAGTGCATCGTTGAAATTTTATACGTAAATTTCATTTGTAAAAATCAAACTTCTTGTACCGCTTTACAGAAATGGTTTGTGCCGATCAATTGGATTCAAACGATGATGGTCCGCTGCTTTGAGAAAGGAACTTTGGGTCATACAAACGAACTACGTGTGCTACTGGATGCTCTTGAAAAGTATCGAAATGGTTTCTTCCAGTTGTTCATTTATGATTGGATCGCCATTCCACTGGTTTACACCCAGGTTTGTGGCACTCTATTTGACCCACTATTAATGCTATACATATTTCATGTCGTCGCTGCAAATACTGCTCACCCAGTTAGATACTTTCCGGCGTCGTTTCGCGCGACTTTTTCTGTACGATTGGCATCGTTGCATTCCACTCGTAAGCCACACACCCAGGTGCGTGGCGTACTTCCCTCCTGTCTGCACCCACGCACGTATTACCTTTGTCCTTTTGTTCGTTAGGAAGATGTGGTGTAGTGAGAATCGTACTGCTAATCAAATTTCTGAGACTGGGTACACCGCCACTTGGGCGTTGTACGACTTGAAGGCACAGTACAGAATTTTTTGAAATCTGGAGTCCTTTCCGCAGATGAGATCTCATTTCTCGGATACATCAAGAAAGTGTCAGCCATGTGTGAAAATGTGGTGGTCCTCTGTTTCAGAACATTGCTCGTCTCACGTTTTTTTTTTTAGTAGCTCTTTGTCACACATTTTTAAGAACAGAATTGGAGTATAGGTCTGTTAAGAGGACGAGGCGAAGGGTGGGTCAGATGGGAGGGAAGAAAGCGCCCTGCCTTATCGAGACGTTGTTACGTTGTTAAATTGCGATGCACGGTTGTCATGAGGGGGTATGTGACAGGAGAATCGTAATTCACTGCGCTGATGAACGTCGTGTGCGACGTCGCGCCCTCAAATGACGATGGTTCCAGGTAGTAGATGGCGACAACAGGCAATTCAGAACCGAAAATAGTCATGAATGTCTACGATGACGGGGTCTACATGAAGTCCGGTGCTCCAATCGACAGGTTAACACGAGTTAAGGAAACGCCGCGCCCATCGCCGCGCGCGGCGAGGCCAAATTACGATTCTCTTGCCCGTCTCTCTTATGAGCAGGGTCCCTAAATCCACTTAAGATTTGAAATGAACGGAAGTCAGTTTTTTGAACTGTATTTTTAGCTGAGTTATAAAACACTTACGCCGTTAAGTCGGTAGGCGCGGAGCCAGGAGACATGGAACCCGTTGCCGTTTTCTCCACTGGTTTTTCCTTCCTACATCGATCACTAACCGATCACTACTGGCGCAATCGCAGCAGGAAGGGGGACTTCTACAGCTCCTGCTGAATTGACATGCCCAAATCATTTGAGCGATATCGACTATCAGGAGGATTGGGTTGGTATGGAAGGGAATATCAGACAAATGACCGGCGCGTACTTGAGAATTGGGCACATTCGTTGACCATGACGCCGATCGGATTCCTGAAGCTATAGCATGCTCACTTCTCACGCAGCGTTGTTTCGACATTTTTGCTTGGTTACTTTGCTCTTGGAGGCCGGTCGGTTCAGTTCTGGTTCAGTTTGATTAGCGGTTCAGATTTTTTAGATTTTTCGATTGCTCTCTTACCAGTTAACGAATCAAATCAGTTATTTCGACTATATTTTGAAGATTCGTCACGCGCGCTGTAGCTGCGCCAGAATTCCATTGCTTTTTGAAAATCTTAAAGTACATCGCGTTGCTGTTGTCGCGTCAGTGCTTACATTTTTACTCTAGGCTGGTCACACTGTCATCCGCTTTCTGTTGGTAACCACCTATCGCAGAAACGGCGGACAAATCTTGCTGTGAATTTTGGACAGCCTGCTGGGTATGTGGAAGGCTTGTTCAAGCCTACATGCCTAAGCAGGCGCTCCGATTCACATGTTTTGGCTAAAGGCAGCGTCCACGTTCCTTCGATGTTCCTGCGCCCTCTGGATATCATAGCCCTCCCTATGAGGATGCAGTATGTACTGGTTTTGCATCTGAAAAGGAGAGGATAGCGCCGTTTCGCTACGTGAGAGTCGGCCTGCCCCCCCCCACCTGCGCCAGCATTTAGAGGTTTCTATATAGGGCATTTTCGCATGGTAAATCATCTGTTTTTCTTCTTCAACTAGCTGGATCAGTCGCATTTATATGAGCTCCATAATCTCATTTGCTTGCTTAAAACGGGCTCAGCTTTAAAGGCTAAGCCACAAAGCAAGTTACGCAGCCAGGTGGCGGGGCGGCATCCTCTTCACAAGCGGGTGGCGCCATCCTCTCGTATTTTTGAGCTGCGAAATTAGTACATCCTCCACCCTTGTCGACAAAGCTACGATATCTAGGAGGGCGTAGGAACATCAAATGAACGCGCGGACGCTGCCTTTAAGCACCGCGGATACAGTTGTATTCGTTACAAAACTGAGGGTAATCAGCGACGCCCATTGACACAGTGAACGCGAAGATCGCGAAAGGTTTCGCAGCTTCCCTAATTGCGAACTTCCAAACAAATTTTTGGGTGTTTTTATGCCTGCAAGGCGCCTGTCTATTTCTCATCTCTTATTTTCCAAAAACGCTTCGAAATAGTGCATAGAGAAGAACGAGCTTGAACTAATCCGGAAGACTAATCTCCTACGACTTGTCACTCACGTGTCGATTGAAAGATTAACGCTTTTTGTGCATGTTTGGGCAAGCGCATGTAGAGGCACCGCGCAATCCCACGATTGTGCCTGGGCTTACCAATTTCCATTACTTGTTTTTTAAAAGGTTCCAGATTACTCAGGGGTTATAGCCTTGGCTCAGTGTTCAGCTCCCGGTTTTGTGTACCATGACCTACAGGAACAAAGGCTGAGCTCTCCCTTGCCAGCCATTATGGTAATTCATAACCTGCGAGATGAGAAGGCGTGGCCGTGTACTTCAAATCTGAACGGCTGGTGATTGAAGGCGTTTTTTCAAAAAGCTGTTCGCATTCGATGAAGCTATCATTCTGTCTTGTGCTGGACAAAGACATGATTACAGTTGTTTCAAAACGGCAGCATCCCACCAAAAGCGCAGCAACCGCCAAGTCTAAATCAAGAGGAGCCACGCCCTTTCTAACTCCAGGATATGCTGTGTAGTCCATCAAATGAGGTGTTGTAGATGAAACCCTTCGCTCTGAGAGGGAGAAAAAGCACCTATTAGTTCCGCATCAACGCCAAATGCTGTGTAACAAACAGCATCTGTTCTGCTGTTCTTTTCAATCAGCTGAAAGGATTGACGTCATGGGAGGATCATTTTTTGGCCAGGGGCACAAAATAAGCACTTCATCCCTCCAAAGCAAAAGATTGAATTACTATCGTCGGCAATAAATTCTGCAGAAATAGATGACTTATATGCAGTAGCAGGGCCCCTCATGATCCGGTCGTTCCGTCTTATGTTTGCTGTGCTGTCCTCTCCTTTTTAAAGCTATTACTTTAGAGGCTGAACGAGCTTGATTGTTGGTAAAGTCGTATTTTATGACTTTTGTAGGTATCTACCATATCAGTCTATGGATATTTTGCGTTTGCTCTTATCGGGCGTCAGTTTCCAAGTCACAATCAGTATCGGGAACCAGTCGATATGTGAGAACTATTTTTAGCTTCTACTACAATTCTGCAGTACCTAGTCATCGTTTAAAGCCAATTTTGACACAAAAGCTAATTAAAAATAATCGGGTGTGAACCTAGGTACGTGCCGATCTTCACCATCCTCCAGTTTCTGTTTTTTGTGGGATGGCTGAAAGTGGGTGAGGATTTGATGTTTCCATTTGGAGCTGACGACGAAGACTTCGAGTTCAACTATATCCTTGAGCGAAATTTGGAGGTCAGTTCGTAACTGTTATTGACGGGACGCGGGCAAAACAATCGTAAACTATCGCGTATTCGCGCGCGGCGTATGGAGCGGCGGTGCGCGGCAAATACACGATATGCTCCCATTTTCGATTGAAGCAGCGAAACTCGTATGAATTCAAGGACGGGCAAAACTTCATGATGGGCGGTATAGAACCTTTAGATTCACAAAAACTGCTGCGCATGGCAGATCGAACAACTCTGTCTACCATGCGCAGCTTTGCTCCCCCTGCTCACCGCGCGAATCGTCACGATTGCTTGTCGCGTGTCCATTAACGACAGGGTCAAATGTGGCGTCGAGGGAAGTCTTCTCTTTAATTAGAGTGAAGGCCGCCCTGCCGCATGTATTTTCGCTTGAGCTGTGTCAGGAGGGAGCGGATCCCATACTGAGACCGTGCTAACGAGATCACAAGCCAAGTGAACATTAGTGATCGCTCGTTGTGGTCCGGCGTCTGTATGAAGACCGCCCTGTCGAGGATTCGCTGAACGTCAAGCTGACCGATGAATTGGATTTATGGGTGGGTTGGGTAAAGCAGCAATGAGACCAATTAGAGAATCGATCGATCAGAAGTGGTTGAAATATTTTGAGCTTCATATTTCAGATGGCGTACTTAATAGTAGACGATCTTCACAACCAAGTGCCACCGGTATACGTCGAATCGCTTGACGACAAGGTTGAGGTAATCTCGTTTACATAGATACTGTAATACAAATAATACGGTTGAAGCCCTAATTAAACCACCCCCCCCCTGGGGCCTTAGCAGATTATCGGCGAAGGTCACACCCAGTAAAGGAGCATCATCGTCCGGAATGCAACTACGTAATAGTTTTCTTTTTCGTTTTCGTGGAAATTTCGTGCGGATTTCCTGCTTTACAACTAGGCCTCCTACCGGCTAATCAGCGCCTCCCAATTGTCCATTTGGGCCTGTCAGTTGTGGCAAGCGATCTGTCTGGATGATTAAAACGACTGACTTCGTCATCAACAGTGGCTCCTACAGCTCACTGCGCAGATGAAATCAAATTCAAATTACCGTCGCTATTCTGGAAGGAAGTAGAACATGTGGCACATCCCAGATGGGTGCTGATCGAAGTCGAAAGCTTCTCCCGTTTTTCATTCACACCAAGCTGTTTCCCAGCCAAGAGCTCGCGATTACATTTTGCAAATTAATCACCCTACAACCTCTAAGAATAAGTAAGTCACAGCAGGGCAGTGTTTTTGAGTTAATGAACTTCGCTGCATCTGTGCTGTCAGTGCAGTCAGTGTTTTTATCTGAACCAACCAACCACTTGATTAATCATATCGCCGATCTCGTTTTTCTCGGGCTAGACGCTTTCTTTTGAGCTTCTTGAGCAGTTCTTTTTCTCAAAGACGGTCAAAAGCCGAAAAGTCGTTTTCCTCATCTTTCAGGATTACTGTTATACCTTTGGCTTAGCAAACTATGAAGCAGTAAGGAACAGCTACTATAGCAAAACAGATTCTAGCATTGCCCTATTTTCTGGAATACAAATAGAACCCAGCGCAGTGGCACACTAAGGACATTAATTTTGACCAATTTTTTTAGAATGCGCCACGCATTCCACATAATTCAA